TGTTGGGGAACGTTGGATCATGCTAGTGTTGGAAAATGGCACAGAATGTTGGCATCCTAGCTCCCAGAGCAGCCCCTGCATCTTACCAAAGAGCAGCTCTTCAGCTCTGGGTACATGTTCTGGGGCCCTGCATTTTGAAAAAGTAGTCTAGGATCTCATTCTCTGGACTTTTACACCCATAGGATGCTTTAGTGTTTGCTAGTTGCCTTTAAGCAACACTAAAAATGAATCAAAAAGGAAATAAGAAACTAAACCAAAAGGTAAATGGAAATAAGAATACATGTATACACTAGATGATTTCAGGTAGGTTTTAAGTATAAAAGATCAACTCACTGACTGAAAACTCAACTCATCTATATGTTCATTATTTTCTTTAAGTAGCCCTAAAAAGTTTGTCTTTTTTCCCTATATAACTCAGCACAGAGGAGGATCCCTTCAAGCTGAGCAGGACGGGGTAAGTGCGCTGCAGAAACCTTCAGTGAGGAGCTCCCCTGCCCTAAGGGAACCCTCTGTGTCCAACCACCCCCCTCCACCCCCCTGCAGGGATGCCTGTACCCGCTGAATGGGCCACAGATGACCAGCCTCGGTCCCTTGCTGTGGCAGAGGAGGACCATAGCGAAGGACAGGTGGCCAGGCTCAAGAGGGTGACAGAGCTCCCCCGGGAATGATGCAGCAAGGCAGGAAAGATCAACTGAGCAACAGCTCAGTTGGACTCAGGTTAGGCTCTGAGTGTTCAGAAACACCTCTGCTCTCATCGTAACTGCTGAAACAATTTCCTCCAGGGTAAAACATGCCATAAAGCGGGGCACTTGTTGAAGAGGAGACGTTTGACATCGTATCGCATTAGCGCAGCTACACGCAGCACACAAAGCTGGGCTGCCAGCCCCCTTCTGAGATCCAGTAACCACAGAAACATAAAGCATAATGCAGAAGATGGGATGCTCAGCTCCAGACTTCCCTTGGCTCAGGCAAGGCCTGTGTGCAGTGTTTGACAGCAGGTTTTTCTCCAGCCCCCTGAATAAATGGGACAGAAGCAGTGATTTGCTGGCAGTGCTCCTGCTAGCCTTTGTTATGCTGGCTGGGGAAGGGACTCTATCAAATAAATATGTGCAGAGACCAGAAAAATAGCAGCAGCATTATTTAAGCAGCTTGTGGTTGGGCACTGAGATACACAAGCACTTAAACTGCAACTAGAAAGAATAAATTCTTCCCCTCCTCCTCTCCTGCACCCTATTCTCTCCAGCCCCTGGTCTCATGCTCCTTCTCCTCCCCTCCTGCCAGGTCATCTCTTTCCCATTCTGCTTCTTTCCTTCATCCCTTAACCTTGGAGGCATTTGCTTTTAGAGCTGGGACAGCTCTCACAAGGATGCCCTGGTGAGGAGTGGGCTGCTAAGAGGTTCTCTGAGCATCTCTCCTCTTTCTCCAGGTACAGGGAAGTCTGCGGGGGAGCCAGATCAGCACTTCTGCAAGAGCTTTGCTGCACCAGCCCTGAGCAATGCTCTGGGCAACACCGGGACCATGAAGGGCTTAGGAGATAACAGAAGCCGCCACCTCTCCGATAACCTGGACTCCCCTCAAGACTCTCTTTATGCCCCCCAGGACAGGAACCCTTATCTCCTCAGCCCCACTGACTCCTTCACCATGGACCCCCGATTCCCAGCGCAGAATACTCTCCATGGAGACTGTCTCCTTCCTCTCAACAACCAGATCTCCAACAGCAGCACTTTCCCCCGCATTCATTACAACTCCCACTTTGAGGTCCCAGATGACAACCCTTTTCCAAGCCATGCCCAAGCCACTAAAATCAACCGCCTGCCTGCAAACCTCCTTGACCAGTTTGAGAAGCAGCTGCCCATCCACAGGGATGGCTTCAGCACCCTCCAGTTTCAGAGGAGCGATGCAAAGCACCGAAGCGAGAGCCCTGGGCGTATCCGGCACCTTGTCCACTCTGTCCAGAAGCTATTTGCTAAGTCCCAGTCTCTGGAGGGCCCCACCAAAGGCAATGTGAATGGCAAGAAGGGGACGGATGACCCCAAGCAAAACCGGAGGAGCAAGAGCAAAGACCGAGCAAAGACCTCAGAGCCCAAGCGCAGGACCAGATCCAACATATCAGGCTGGTGGAGCTCAGATGACAATTTAGACAGCGATACCTGCAGCTACCGCAACCCCATGGGCCTCATGACACTGGGCCGTCAGCCAGACCACAGCCAGCCGAAGTATTTCATGCACGCTTACAATACCATCAGCGAGCACATGCTGAAATCTTCCAAGAGCAATAATGACCTCAAGGTCACCCCTTGCACCAATATCCCCATTAACAATGACTCCAACTACATTAAGAGGGGGTCCTGGTCCACGCTGACACTCAGCCATGCCCGGGAAGTGTGTCAGAAGGCCTCCGCCACAATCGATAAAGCCTTGCTGAAATCCAAGTCCTGCCATCAAGACTTGGCCTACCACTACCTGCAGGTGGGTGCAGCAGGGGGGTTATGGCTTGCTCCATGCAGGGAGAGCGCAGGAAGACAGGGGACACCCCCCCAGTAGGCACCTTATTGCCTGGTAGACCTTATCAAACAGTTCCAGATGGTTCAGTTGCCACCTCAAGTCACAATGCCAGTCTTGGGGGGGTTAAATTCACCAAGACCCTGGGGACAGACTGCCACACCTCCTGCAGGGACACTGGTGCTGATGGGGTCCAGCTCCCCAGCTAGAGTGCTGCCCCAGGACCCCTCAGTCCCTGTGCTGGACCATGGCAGCATGGGGAGGAGGTGATGTGCCCACACCACAGCCTTGGCATCCTCTGCTGTGATCCCCATTTGCTGCAGGATGCCCCCACTGCCCATCCAAGCTCTGCAGATGTTGTTGTGGGTGGACTTTTGGGCTCTTGGGCAGCTGGGCACGTAGCTGCTCACATGTAGCTGCTTCCACTAGGTGCCCAGGCAGCTGGGCATGCCGAGGGGCCACAGCTCGTAGGCCACCCAGACGCACCTCCCTGGCCACTTGTCCAAGCAGCGCCTCCATCCCACGGTCTGAAGGTCACCAGTAATAATTAATGCTTAACCCTTATATCCACGCATCACAAGGATGTGCCGACATGCCCAGTAAGCCCTGCTCTACAGAGCTTCCCCGGAGCACTGGTAGGACCTGCAGCTCTGCGGGGCATGGCTGCCTTGGCTGCTCACCCACCTGCAGGGCAGGGCTGCGGGGCCAGGAGGGCAGTGCCAGCCACCCCGCTTGCATGGCAGAAGCCTGCATGGCTAATGCTGGTTTGAACCACCCCCATCACCAAGAGCACCAGGTCACTGTGTCGGTTTCAAAAAGTGACACCTGAAGAACACAAACCTGGTTGTGCCTAGGGAGAGGAATGAAGATAAATAAGCCAGGCCTGGCTGGAGGGGGATGGGGACTAGTCTATGTGTGTAAATCTCCAGCATCCTTCTTAATGCAAAAATGTCATGGGCTCTCCTGACTGTGGCCAGTGGGCAATGAATTATTGAAGCACACTCTGCTTCCAATACCTTGCTGGCCACAGTTGTAAATCAAATTTCAGAGGGACTTATTGCATCAGGAACATCATCAGAAACATGTTCTCGGCCTGGTTTCTTTTTCTTTGCCTCCCTCTGTTCAGTTAAGTGTTAGGACGTTAAAGAGCTGCAGACAAAATAACCAACTCTGTTTCTCCCTGTGTGCGGCAGCAGAGCCCAGTGCAGGCAGCCCTAGGTGACGAATGCTACCCCACAGTCCCTTATCTGCCAGGGTTTGGCCACAGCTGGGGGTACAAGACTGCCCTGCTCGTTCTTGCCCACCCATGTAATGAGCCTCCGTTTCTCGACAGCCTGACGGAGGGCTGTGGGCACAGCTGGGTGGCGTGAGCCCAGCCAGCAGCTGGGCAGCCCCACCGCTCGGCTGGGAGGACACGGGTGCTGCCCCACTGCAGCCAAGCGAGCCCCTGCGGAGGTGGGACCAGCCCCTCAGCCCTGGGCCGACCGACGCAGGCAGCGGCCAGGTAGGGATCTTGTTTTGAGGGGAAGCTTTTGCCCAGCTCCCTCCCTACCCTGACTCTCCCGGGACCATTGGACGGGGTCAGCAGCCTGCACCACCAGACTCGCAGCAGGACCAGCCTGGGTAGGGAGCAGCTGGCAGCCACTGTTGGCATGGCTGGAGGGGCACTGGGGACAGCAGGTTTTGACCAGCATCCTGAGTGCATGGCGCAGCCCCCGCAGCCAGCAGCATCTCACCAGCAAAGCCAAGACCCCAAGCACCCAGTCCAGAAAACAGGACACTTGGTGCCCCTCGAGCCGACCTTGCCCCCAGACACCCAGTCTGAGCCCCAGAGGGCAGGGCACAGGGCTTGGGGTGCCCAGGGTAGGATGGGGTGATAGTATCCACACCCCTCTCAGCACGGGAAGGGGACTAAGCTGGTGATGGATAAGCCACCGCTGGAGCCCAGCTTGTGGGAAACATCCTTTTGCAAGGCCACATGTTCCCTGAAACCCGCCTCTCCCTGGAGCAGGACAAGCCCACTCCCTGCTTGTGCCATGGTGAGGGACCATGTGCATCAGCCTGCCCTCCGAGCTCACTGCCGGACAGCGTGGGGGCCTGCCCTGCTGCAGATGGTGCTGGTGCAAGGCAGAAATGTCCGGGGAGGCCCAGAGGTGAAGTGTCCCTCTGACATGAGGGAGGGGAGGAGGAGTGGGATGGGTACAAACAGGACTGGGGTAAGCCCCCAAGTCTATTCACCTCACCTGCCCCATTTGGAGACCGATTGGGGGTCCATGTGATGTTTCCAGCTTCATCCCCAGACCCAGATATTGGAGTTGAGAGTGGGTGATCACCGAGCTCCAGGTCCAGCCCTGTCCCGTCAGGGTGGGGGTTTTCTTGGCAGCAGTCCCCAAGGTGACACAGCACTGTCCTTAGAGCACAGCCCACAGGGAGGGAGGCTGTGTTCCCTGTCTGCTGTTCTCCCCTCCCCATGGGCCCCACCTGCAGCTGGCAGTGCAAGGGAAGAGGTTGAGGGTGCAGGATCCCAACAGCCAAGAAGCTCCTTGGGTTGAGAGATGCCCCAGGCAAGGGATGAACAGGAGAAGGCACAGTTGGGCAGCATTTCTGCCTCAGACATAGAGTCAGACCCATGTCCATGGATACTGAGACCACATTGCGGAGACAGGCAGTGTCAGGGCTCCCAGGGGACAGATTCTTACCACAGGCACCATTAGCCTGATGCATCATCCAGACTAGCCCCTCCAACCCCACTTATAGTCAGACTGCACCAAAGCTTCCTTAACCCCCAGTAGCCCCAAAAATCAATTTGGAATCCGGAGTGGGTGGCCCATTCAGTGCCAGCTGTTCTGCAGATGCTGGCTGCCCTCACAGCAGCTCCACAGACCTCCTATGGGGCAGGAAACCCAGCCCTGGTCCTTCCCAGACGGTGCCCTGCCAAAAGGACAGACAGGGCCTACAGGCGGTCTGGGCTCCGGCTTGCATTCTTGAGGACATGCCTGAGACCACACGTAGCCTCCTGGATACCATGAGGGATCTGGCCCCGGAGGGAGCATTGCTGTACCCTCATTGGGTCAGCCTCTTTGCATTGGAGCCTGGCTGCATGGCACGTGCATCCCTGCACGCTGTGTCCACCCCGACGGGTGCTTCAACAGGGGTGTTCATGTATGGGGCATGCCTGTGTGTGCCAGGGCTGGGCTGCATGGCAGAGCTGGCACACGTGTGAATGGAAACCCTGTTTGCTCTGCGAGTCTCTCTTTCTCCAGACCTCACCAAAGTGATGGGAGCAGTGCAGCTCTTTCGCCCCTGCCCAGCACCCAGGATTGGAGTTTTCCCCTTCCCTCCCCTCTGTTTGTGCTCCAGGTGACTGGGGAATGCCCCAGGCAGAATTAAGGTAGGGGGAAGCCTCTGTGTGTCCCCTTCTTTCCTCTTCCCTGCACACTCAGCTCATGACCCACAGAGCAGGAGAGTCAGAAGGCACTGCTGCTTTGCAGTGTGCAGTATTGTGGCAGGATGGTGTCAGTGGAGCCCAGCTCCCACAGACAGACATGTCCCTGCATCCCACGTGCCTGCGCCATGGGGCACCACACAGACCAAGCCTGGGCAGAAAGAAGGATCCACATCCTGAGGCCTGGCAGAGCTTCTCTGCTGTCCACTCCTTCCCTCCTGTGCAGCCACTGGGCAGGGTGGATCCCCAAGCCCTCTGTGCCAGCAGCCAGCTACAAGAGCTCTCAACCTGGAAATCCTCTTGCTCCGACCCCTTTCACACCAACCAAACCACCACGGGCAGAACCAAGGCTACATCTGGGAGAGCAACACAGAGAGCAGCAAGGCTCCCACAGCCTGTGAGGATCCTTCTGAGCATCCCTGTGCCAGGCCTAGGTGCAACACGAGGCAGCCCTCCTTCCCACTTTCTTTCATACATGGGCTGTGATCAGAGCCCAGGGTCTCAGCTGCCAGGATAGTTGCTGATATCAAGGTGCTCCACTGGCCACCATTGAGGCTTGTCGCTTGACAACAGGAGGGGCTGTGGGCTCCTCACCCTCATTGCAGGGTTTCAGAGTCTGTCAAATGGGCTCCTCACATCCTCAGGTGCCTGAAGGTGCCAAGAAGCATCCTGGAGGGACCTGAACAGCACCTCAAGTACCTGCACTGCTTTCGAAGATCCCCAAGGGCACCTACTTGTCTTTTCAGGTGTGGAGCTTTTGAAACACCTGTCCTGCCTTCTGTCTCCTTTTTCTGGAAGAAAAAGCTGTGGGAGTCCCTCTGGATTCTGTGTGCAGAGGCAGGACATGATCCAAAACAGGGCACCAGAATTAAAGGGTGTTCTGCCAAGCATCTCCTTGACATTACTAAACTGGAATGTGGAGCACCTTAAGAGCAGTGCTGTTTCTTGCTGCCTTGCCAAGGCACAAAGTAGAGGAGAGGCAAATGAAAGGATAAATAAGGCAGCTCAGTTAGGACCAGCAGGATGTCACAATGTAATGGAGAAGCTGGTGGAGGCTGTCCGTAGGAGAGGAACAGGGTCCACATGGGGCAGGAGGTGCTGTGGGCTGCTTGGGTCCCACTGCTGTAGTCAAGCTGCACCAACACAGACATACTGAAAGCACTGTCTTCGTGTCGCTTGGCCTAGAGCTGAGTGCCCAAGGCCAGGAGGCAGATGCTCCAGCCCAGCAGAGCTGAGCAACCCACAGACCTTACCCTCAAGCAGCAGCATCCGAGCAGCCACAAGAACCTGACACCTTATTACTCCCTGTGTCCTTGGGCTCACAGGGCTGAGCCCAGCACCTCTCACTGCCCCACAAAATACAGCATTTGCCTCTGCAGAGGGGATGGCTGTCTAGTCCCCCAGGCACTGCTTGGCACGCCTGGCTGCTGGCAAGCTCTCTCCTCTTCAGCCAGGAGCTGCAGACTCCAGCTCTCTGCCCCCTTGCCTCAGCCCCTAGCTGGCCCAGGACCTTTGCAGGCTGCAACGCATCCTGGGGAGAAGGCAGGCAGCAAAATGCAGTCTCAAGTCAGACCTGACAGCAAGGCAGTGGGTATGAAAGTGCTTTTTTGGGGCTCTGTTTCCTTTAGAAAACGTCAGAAGCACCCACCCTAGTGACCTGTGGGATCCCTCCCACCACAGGACTCAGCTGGAGCCTCCAAGGTCCCTCCCAGCTGGACTCTGCCCGTGCAGGCAGCTGGGCGGAGGCAGAGGGAGCGCTCACAGCCAGGAGAGAAAGGGCTCTCTGCTCTTACTTTTGTAGGAACCTGCCAGATAATACCCAGTAGCTCATGAACTGGGGAGTCTTGCAAACAGCCAGCCCAGAAGCCATTGCCAAGCACAAAGCTTGTAGGAGGCAGAGTGGAAAGAGCTGGGAAAACCTGCAGCAGCAGCAGGGCCAGGGAGGCCTGGCCAAGCTTATGTCTTACGTGTGAGACTTGCTCCATGCTGGTCACCCACCTGGACCTCACACAGGCAACATGTCGTCTCTGGCTCCCTGTTCCATGTCCCCGAATAATACGGGTCCTGGCTCATGGGTGCACATCACGGCTGGAGCCCCATCACCAAAGAGGTCCCACAGGCTGTTTGGGTTCTGCTCTGCATAGCGCTGGGGTCACCCTTTGCCTTCTCACACACGCACAGCAGGAAGCAGACTGACAGGACATGGACTGAACCTCTGGCTCCTTGGGCAGAAGACAGCCCTCTGAGTGAGTTAAGCTATTGCACGTGGATTAAGCCTACATCTGGCACACCTCTCAGGAAAACAAGAAGCTACTACCTGCAGATCTAAAGCTCATCTGAAGATGTTATCCCATCTTGTTATAGGACAAGGGGTAATGGGTATAAATTGAAAACAGGGAGGTTTAGATTAGATGTCAGGAAGAAATTCTTCACAGAGAGGGTGGTGAGGCACTGGGACAGGTTGCCCAGAGAAGCTGTGGATGCCCCATCCCTGGATGTCTTCAAGGCCAGGCTGGATGTGGCTTGGAGCAACCTGGTCTAGTGGAAGGTGTCCCTGCCCATGGCGGGGGGGTTGGAACTAGGTGATCTTTAAGGTCCCTTCCAACCCAAACCATTCTATGATTCTATGTTGCACCCCAGAGCAGCAGACAGCACCCTCAAGCCAGCGCTGGCTCCCACTGAACAAGCCCACTGTGAACAAGGAGAGGAACAGGAACCGTGCAGTGCTTAACAGCTCTGGTTTAGCACAGTTAGCCGCAACACGGCTCTGTGCATCCCCAGAGCAGTATATAAACATTGGCTGGTTAATCACACAGCTGTCTGGGGAGCTGGACAAATCCAACAGCTCCATCCAGCTGGGTCAAGGTGGATGCTTTCAGCAGCACCAGTGTGGTCAGTGCAAGACCCTTTGCTGCTCCCCATGGCACTCTGCAACCAGCCTGCTTCCCACAGCAGACTGTCCTCGTGTCTGCATGGTTTGCACATTCCTCACATCTTCCCTTGCTTCTCCTTGACCACAGCTCCTCAGCTCAAAGGTCGGCTACAAACCAAGTTAGCCACAAAACCAAGGCTTGCTCCTGGCAACGCGGTTGCCCCATCTTTCTCCTGGCCTGTCTCACACCGCGTGTGGCTCTTGTCCTGATGAGTCCTGGGCTGACGTCTGGCTCTGCTGCTGGCTGAGCACCTTGGCTGTGCCTCTGATCACCTACACAGACCCTTCGCAGGACAGGCAGGCAGTGGTGCTTGTTACTTGAGTTGCTCAGTGCTTCAGGCCTCTGGTGGAATCATCAGCTTGCCCATTTCTAATGGGGAATAAGACACCATGTCTGCCTTAAATTATTTGCAGATTTGTCATCTCAGTGAATTTAGAAGCACTTTTTTTGCACACGGTACTACTCCTCTCTGTGCAGAGAGGTCAGGACAAGGTCCATGTGCCCAAGCTGCTCTAGAGGGACTCATGAGGGCCTGGCTTGGTTCCAGGAAGTTATTTCAACCACTGAGAGTCACATTCAACACAAAAACCTTAGTGTTGGACCTAGTGATGGTCTAGGCTCTGATCCACAGGTCCTGGTCTACAACAGCTCTTGACTGCCTTTGCCTGAACAGTGCGTGCACTTCACATTCAATGAGCATGGGCTTTGCGTTGAACAAGCGTGTGCCACTCCTGTCCCAGTGCCCAGTGCAAATCTGGTGAGACTCTTCCCTCCCCGTTATTGTGGCATTGTGCAGCTTCTGTCAACTGTGTAAGCATGGTCCAGTGTGAAGGTGGGCTGAAGCGGGGGTGGGGTGAATGGCTGTAGGTAGATGTGCTAAAACAGAAGCAATCATACAGCTGCCTGGCATGAACTGGTAAGGGAGGGTTGGAAAGGAATTGCATTGCCCACTCCCACTACATTCCAGCTGGGGGTCCTTGCCACCAATCCCCCCAAGTCCCCATGATCCCACTGGTCCCAGAGGTGATGTCCCTCATATCTGCTCATGTTTCCCTTGTTCTTGCAGGTGCCTCAGGGGGAGTGGAACAACACGCTGTCTCGGGACAAAGACAGCGAGATCCCGTGCCGGCGCATGCGGAGTGGGAGTTACATCAAAGCCATGGGGGATGATGACAGCGAAGACTCAGAACCCAGCCCCAAACCATCCCCAAAAACTGCAGCTCGGAGGCAGAGTTACCTCAAGGCCACCCAACAGTCCCTGAGTGAGCAGAGCACAACCCAAAGGTAACACTGGAGATCCTCCAGGAGCTCTGCACAGGTCTCCACGGGCCACCCCAGAAGCAGTCCTTGGGGTCTAGCTAGCAGCACCCACATGGAGACTCCATGTGGGGATCAGGCTCCTGCCGACCAGCTCAGACAGCTCAGGGGCAGGATGAGGAGACAAGCAGGACAGGAGATGTGGCAGAGGAATGGAGAAAGCTTGCCATCCTGGTGACTCCAAACGGCCCTGATGTTAGGAACCTGCTCCAGGTCCCTGTCCCCTCCGTGATGGGGAGGGCACTCTGATGGAGCTGTGGGGATTTCCTCTCTAAGCCTCTGCTGCTCAGAGGGACTTCAGAGAGCCCAACCCCATGAAGCTATTTAAATGTGGAAAATGCCCAGCCAGCATGGCTGAGGACACTGGGCACATAGCCCACAGGGTGCTGGGACTTTGCCATCTGCTTTGCTCCACAGGTGTCCCAGGGACCCTGGGGACCAGCCAAAAAGTGGCACTCGAGGCTGGGTAATACCCTGAGGCCAGGAGAGATGAGGTCTGGGGCCAGGTGTTGAGGGAGGAAGATCCACAGTGGCTTGAGTCAGGTAGACAGCAGAGCAAGGCAAACACAGCAAAATCTTGCTGGGCAAGAGGCTGGTCCTTGTGGGCTGGGGTCTGTGTGGAGCACCTGACCAGAGGTAATGCTGTGCAGTGTCCCCACCAGCTGCTCTGCTTCTGGGACACAGCACCCAGGGGCTGTTACAGGCTGTGAGTGTTTCAGATGCTGTGGCTTGGGAGGATATGAGTGGCACATGGAGGCAAGAGCCACCGCAGATGAGCTGCTGATGCTCAGCAGACAGAGCCAGAAGGAAGCGCGGTTGTAGCAGGCAGTGGGGAGACCCCTCATGGTGGCTTCAGATTGCAGATCAGATGCTGCTTTCTGCTGAGAGATGGTGACAAACTGAACTGCCGGGAGCCTTAGAAATGCCTGCTCTGAATCCATCTCTGTTCCCTGCCTTCACATCCACTTCAGGGGGAGAAGAGTTGTTTCCAGGGGGCTCTGATAAAAAATAATACACAAGTTGGGAGACTGAGGTTCTTCCTATCTTGGGCTTATTGTCCATCCAGGTCTTGTCCATCAGGATGGACCACCTCACCTGGGCTGCTGAGGCCCAGCTGGAGCCCATAGACAGGTGGCTTTGAGGAAGGGGCTAAGTCAGGGTAGGGTGTTTGGGCAGGATGGGCAGAGCCAGATGAATCATGGATGCAGCTATGTGGGAGAGGAGGCGTCGAGGCAGGACTTGGCTGGACAAGGCCATTGGTGCGAGTGCTTAGTCTCCAGCAGAAGTTTTACTGGAGGGAAGGATCCTGCCTGGGGAGGAGGGGGCTCCACAGCTCTTGGCACTGTGCTCCAGCGAGGGACATCGCACCCTGGTCCCAAGGCTGGCCAGGCCTTGTGCCAGGCAATGGCCTGGAGTGCCAGCTGAGCCAGCGCTGGCGCCAGAGCATGGGCACGGTCACCATCTTGCCTCAACCCCTCACCAAGGAGCTTTTTGGATGCTGTGGCTGCTTTGGTTGCTGTGGGGCCTCCCTGGGGTTCCTGGCAGCTGGGCACACCACTGGGAAAGCAGCAGGGACACCATGCCCTGGCACATCCCCATGCCAGCCCTTGCTAAGATCCTCAGTCATGCCTGGGATGCACCAGCCGGGGGCTCTGGACCTGTGGTTTGGGACAGGAGGGACTGCAGGGAGAAGGAGAGCTGCAGCCTTAGCCAGGACAAGGCACAGAGGAGTGAGACAGGATCTGTCCCTGTGAGAGGGTCTTTGCCCCTGCAAAGTCTGTTGCCTGCTCTGTGACTCACTTCCCCACAGGCAGACATGAGGGCAGGTCGGGGTGAAGCTCAGTGGGATGGGCACAGGGAGGCTGGCAGGGACACTGCCTGCCCCAGCACACAACTGACTCACACCACAGGCACGGGGTGAGCTCACAGGCAAAACCCTCTGAGGCCGAGGGTAACAAGGCAATAAGCAGATCGCCCAGGGCTTGGGGTGCTACACTGCCTTTGGCTAGTCAGCAGTGGGTCCTCTGGGGACTTGGGGTCTCCTCCATCACTGCTGGCAGGAGAGACTACTCCCCACTCTCATCACACCCCAGGATGGCGACTCAGGAGGAGGCATGATCCTTCCTGGAGGTCCACACGCTGCACAGGGCTCCTGCTCAGCTGGGACACATCCTGCCCTCAGCTTTGCTGTCCCTCTGCACCCACAGCCCTGCCAGACATGCGGGAAGCAGGTCTTCTGTAGGAAGCATGTGCAATTCAAGAGGGACAGTCTCCAAAGCTCATCAGGGCTGGTGTGGCTGTGTCCTCCACCATACTCCACCAGATCTGTGACAAGGATTCCTTCACGCAGGGTCTCATGGTGGAACAGAACAGGGGAGCCCCATCCTTTCCATATCCCTCCTCTTCCTCTCACGTCCCTACCACCCTTCCACATCCCTCCTGGCCCCTGTGTGCCTGGACCTCAGCAGAAACCGTAGCTGTGGTCTTGGCTGGGTCAGGCTCAGTGATATCCCTGCTCTTCTGCTGCTGAAGCTGCTGCTGAGCCCCAGGGCATGGGGACAGTGCTTCTCCCAGAGCCTGCAGCAAAAGCTGCTCTGGAAATACCACACACCACCTGCAGTACTATCATTCAAGGTTCCCCTTGAACTTCTTCCAGATAATCCCTTTAGGTTCCTCCAGACTAATTTAAAAAAAAAAAAAAAAAACCAAAACATCCTGCATATGTTTCCAATTGCAAAGCCTACAAAATAGCATTTAAAAGTCATTTCTCACCCTCTTCCCACCAGTCCAGGCAGTGAAGAGCCAGCTTCCCTGACACCGGTCCCAGCATCAGCCTGTGTGAGAGTCAGTCTGTCACCTCCATGCTGTCACATGTGCCTGTGGCTGGAGGAGGGTGCCGCTGGCAGGGGTCATCTGGTTCTTCCCACAGGCCGGCAGCTCCAGCACAACCCCAGCACTGCCCCCTCACACCCTCTCTCTCTGCTGGCAGGAGCCTGGACCGCCTGGACTCTGTTGAGATCCTCCTACCTCCGAAGTTCCCAACCTGGGAGGAAGAATACAACCAGATCTCTGACAGTGTCAACGAGTCCAGTTGCATCAACCAGGTGAGATGCTGGAGTTCTGAGCCCTGCTGCACTGGCACAGCCCAGTGAGAAAGGAGATCAGCTGTGGGGAGAGAGGAACATCTTTTTCCCCCTTCAAAATATGGTGCTGGCAGTGCTCCAGGCATTGCACATGCTATTCTCTGGCAGCTTTACCAAAGCAGCAAGGCCAGCGCCTTAATCCTGACACATAGAGACTTCCCTTCCTCTAGCTTTGCCTCCCCACAGCACTGCTGGTGCAGCTGAGGTCACTCTGCCATGGCCACAGGTATGCCAGCCAGGAGCAATGCTTCACAGTGATGGGTGAAGCTCAGGGCTGCTCTGAGCAGACTGGACCCAAGAACAATGTGCCTGTAATCTTGGAGGCTGTCCTGCCAGCTAACTGTGGATGTCTCCCTTGGATATTCCTGGATAAGCCAAGGATGCCAGTGCGGCACTGACGGTGGGCAGCAAACTCCTTGACGGGATAGGCTCATGCCCTGACCCCAAGCCCTGGGATGCAGTTCGTGCAAACTGGGTTTAACTCCCTGTCCCACACTATGCCTCTGCTTGGCATTACTCTGGAGCAGCTCAGGGCTTGGGTGGTTATAAGCCAGCTGCCTCACAGGCCAGGAAGTAACCCATGCCAGGATGAGGCCTTTGCAGAGGTCCCATGTGTGGGAGAGGGGATGGGGGGCCCATCTTTTCGGTATGCAGGCGGAGGCGCCCAGGGTAGCAATGGCTCCACAAGCTTCACCCAGCTGTTTCATTGTCACCCTGGGCCTCTGTTATGTCCCGTCTCTGTTCACGCATGTCTGCGTGGGAACACGTGCACGCATGTGCCCCTTCTGTGCTGCTCTGCTCTATCTGTGCACAATGATCAAGGCAGCAGCACAAGGCACGGGTTAAAGCAGTGGGATGAGCATCACGAACCAGAGGATGGAGGAGCACAAGCAGCAAGTTCTGGTGTTCCCCTCCAGGTGTGTGGGGCTCTGAACCCTCCTCCAGCACAGCCCAGCATTTCCAGCCCCATGGCTGGTTTCTCCTGCTGTCACACAGTGGTTGGAGCCCTTGGGGGAGAGCTCTGGGGAAGGGCATGGGGCACTGCTCATGGGCATACGTGTTCCTTGTGGTCAGTCTCGTTCCTTGTACATCAGCAGCAATGTGCTGGGTGTCTCACTGCACAGAGAAGAGGTCGGGACTGTCACCTTCCTGTCCTTTGCATGTAAATCCATGTCTGAAGCCAGGTCTCTGAGTGAAGACAATGGGTGGGCTGAATCTATGGTCTCTCCTGGTCTAAAGCTGCCGTTTAGCAGCTGAGTGCAGCACCCCCATGAAGACATCGGAAAGGTCTTGGAACTGGAGGGTCTGAGCAGCCCATAATGTGCTGCCCAGGCCAACACCCCAGACGCTGATCGGTAGCACTGTGATGCTGGGAGCATGCTGACTGTCACAGCACCCACTCAAGTGTGGGGCTGCCATCATCACATGCACTCTGCCCGCTTTTCTCCAAAACAGAGAGTTCAGTTGCAGCTGGATTGGGATTTAGAGGCCTCCCACAAATTGCATATCTGTTGATCCAGGATGGAGCTGGTACAGCCACCAGTGTGTGCTGGTCCGATCATCTGGCGGGTCTGACCTGCCCTTTCATGCAGTGCCAGGGGCAGTTCCTCCCCTGCCATCACTTCTGCGTGACTGGATTCTTCCCAGGATGGGTCATCTTGGGCAACTCATGCAGGGTAGAGCTCGTAGGGTGGATGTGCTCTGCAGACCAGGGAGGGAGAGGAGGAGAAGGCATTCCTCCCCACAGGCAGTGCAGTGTCTGTCAAGCATCTGTCCTTATGCTGAGTGTGTGCGTGGCTTTGCTATGGAGACAAGGCAGTATTGCTTCTGTGTGACTTCCTCCTGGTGCAGGGATCAGAGGAGGTGAGGCGGCCAGCCTGACCCCACCAGCGTGAAGGGCCACTTCCCCAATATGAAGCACTCAGACTGCCCATCCAACCTGGCTCTGCGGGCTGCAGGGGCCCATTGCTGCTCCTGGCCATGTAGCAAGGTGCTGGCCAATGCTGAGGGCTTTGCAGAGGTGCTAACGGGGAGCCACACCAGTGCACCAGCCACAGGCAACCCATGTGTGCCAAGGGGCATCCCAGAATTGTGTGTCCCAAGTGTGCCCTGTGTATATATTGATCTATGGTGCATATAACAGGCTGAATGCATCAGCTTCTCTCCGGCTGGGAGGTGTCCCATGGAGCTTTGCTGTGCCGTGTTTGTGCCGCTGTCTGAGGGGCCTGTGCGGCATCTTGCCGGGCATCTGATTAGCTCTGAAGTTTGTACTGAAGTGTCAGCAGCAGTGGCCCCTGGGGTGGACCATCCACTCCCTCGTCCTCAGTCCCTGTGCGATGGCTGTCTGTGTGAGGAGCTGCCCCATTCTTGGCCTTTAACCTTCTCCAACTCTTTCTTCCAGATCTTTGGACCCCCCTTACTTATCCCTCAGATATTTACTCATGGAGAGCAGGTACCGTCCCACTGACGTTTCCCTCTTCCTTCCTCACAGAGCTTTCTCGGATCAGCCTGGACACCTGCGGCAGGGTGCGAGGCAGGCTGTGGGGGCCTGCCTCAGGGCCAGCAGCAGGAGGAGGAGGCAGCGCTCCTGACTCAGGCACTGCAGGGCAGCTGGAGAGCTTGGTGGCCCCAGCAGGGTCTAGGGACCATCCACTTTAGGGAAAAAGTAGATGAACTTTCTGAACCAAGCCTTGTGGAGCTCAGACACCAGTGCTGGGCAGAAATACTGCCCTTGAGGCCAAAGAAAGAGCGAGGAGAGATGGAAGTGAGTAACAGGTCCAATCTCAGCATCTCTCATCTGTATTTCAGAATGCTCTGCTTCAGGCTGCCTCTGGTTTACCACGGATGAGCCTCTCCTGAGTCCAGGTTTGACCAGCTGCAGCTACTGGAGAGCAGGGCAGGGCCAGGGGTACAGGTGGGAGAGAGGTGGGGGCAGCAGGAGAAGCAGGGCATGAAGCTGCCCCTGCTTGGCTCACACCATACTGCGGCCTGCTGCCAAGCCCTCTCCTGGTCCCCCGCTACAGACAGGGCGAGGATGGGTTCCTGATGGTGCCACCCAGAACCAGTCCAGGCAGCGTATCCCTGGTCAAGTATGGAGGCTGGCCCACACCTTCTCTCTTGGCGCTGCAGCCCACGGTAGGGCCAGGCCATCTCCCGCATTAGGAGCACGCCTGCCCCGGCAGGGTCTCGTGGCTCTGATGATGGGACAGCGGACCTGTCAGAGGCTGGACAGGGATCTTAGCCTCACACACTCTCAGCCAGAGACTGGGGGGTGTTTTGCAGGCACTGTGGTGCTAAGTGTCCCCTACTACACAAGCAGGAACCCTCTGGCTTCCAAGGGGGTCCCCTCTTCCCTCTCTCTCTCGGCAGAGAGCCCGGGCATCCTGCACCCCACCAGCACTGACCCCTGCACCTCCCAGTCTGCCATAAGCAGGACCGTGCAAGAGGGTGTCAGGGCGGCTGCAGGAGGCTGAAGGAGCAGGAGGGGAAGGGAGAGGGCTGCCTGCAGGCAGGGGGTGACTGGCTCTGCCCCTCTTCCCGTGCAGGCACCAGAGCCGGAGCTGGGGGAGCAGTACGAGGTGGTTTGCGACTCTACCTACAGCGAGGCCGAGTCGGCCGCCGCGGAGGTGCTGGATCTGCCTCTGCCTAGCTACTTCCGCTCCCGGAGCCACAGCTACCTCCGAGCCATCCAGGCGGGCTGCTCCCAGGAAGAGGACACGGGCTCCGTCCGCTCCATCTCCCCCCCACCAGCAGGCAGCCTCAGCGGCAGCAGGACCCTGCCCACCAACAGCAGTGAGTGCCAGCGGTGTTCGGCGGGGAGGCGGAGGGGAAAGGGTGCGAGGCCAACTGGGACAGGGAAAATGCTGCTCAGTACCCAGGAGGCGTCGAGCATGTGAGGCTCTGGGCTTAGATACCTGTGTCTCCAGCCACAGTTGTCCAAGGCTTTTGTGGACTTGGGGGCTTGCTCTGTGCCAGAGAGGGGCCATCAGGCAGGCGTGGCACTAGGATGGCTGAGGCTGGATCTCTGGATGCAGGTGCTGAAATGTCAGGCAGGCTATGGTTGCTGGGATCTGACCAGTACTGCTGCTATGGCCTGCAGAGGTCTGGGAGAGCTCAAAGTCTTCCCAGGCCTGAGTGCTGCAGCTGGGAGCACCCCATGGGATGCCCACCTTGACCAGGAGCACTGGCTGCCCTCACTGCCTGAAGTTCCGCGGGGCTACAGGTGCAGCAGGAACCTGCAGCACAGGCAAGCAGCCCTGCTCCCCTACACTATGAATACCTGCCATCTTCCTCCTCCTTCTCTCCACTATGCATCTCTTATTAACCCAATCCAGGCTGCAGCGGACAGGACTGACCTCTCCCTGACACCCAGGAACAAAAATGCCTATCAAGGAGTCTGCACCAGTTTCCCCAGGGTCTGAGTATATTGTGATCTCTGCAGCCCTGTCAGCCCCAGAGGCAGAAACTGGGGCTGATGGGAAGAGTGAGACAGCATCTGCCTACTTCCCCCAGTGAGGGAGGTGTGACAAGGCTTTGAGGATCACCATGAATTTCTTGGAAGGTTCCCACATAGGGCAGGACTCCTGGAAACAGGTCTGGAAGATCGGATCTGGGCAAAAGGGGAATGGTGCGAATTTGCCCTCTCCAGGTCCACAGGGTTGGTGATTTTGCCCAGCAGATTCTTGGGCAGGTCTGACCCTGCCCAGCCAAGCAGGACCCTGGCCAGCCTAGACCTAAGCAGCACAGCCCAGACAGTGGTGTGCCAAGTGTGGGGTTCACCAGTGCAGCTCCTGTGCCATCCAGGCAACAACCCAGCTCCGTGCAGCGGCAGAGGGTGCTGTGTGTTCAGCTCAAATCGTTTGGACCCCAATATCTTCCCCTGAAGGCAAGGCAGAAGAGGTACTGGGCAGACAGCATCACCTTGGTGCACCCAGCCCTCAGGCTGCTGCTTTGAGACCAGTCTTTCAAAATCTTCTGACAGTGAGATGCTGGGAATTCATCCTTTGGCTGGACTGGCTCCAACTGCTTTCTCTCCCGGAACTACAGCAGCCACGTAGGTGTCTAATGCATCAAGTCCTGTTTGCTCCTCTCCATCAAGTCTACATAGACTAGAGATACCAGCATCCCTGGTGTGGGATAAAAACAGGTCTTGCTCTCAGTTTCAAGGCACTAATGAGCCTTACCAAGCCCCAAAGCCCAGCACCCTGCAGCATCCGTGCACTGAGCAATAAGCAACATTATACCCAGCTCCAGATGGGCATTATTCAATCCAGGCCCTTCTCTTTTGATTAATAATTACTGAACTGGACAAGAGCCCGGCCTCTCCCTCCGGTGTGAGTCAGGATTGACTCCATCCCCCAGAGCAGTGGTCAGGCTGCAGGCAGCCCCATTCAGCTGGTGTTTCTCACCAGCTCAGCAATCTCTCCCAGCATCATAGTAGAGTGGGTCTCTTCACCAAACATCCACCCAGAGCTTGCTCTTCTTGCGTGCCAAGCCCTCCCTTCCCCTGTGGCTGGAGTACCCAGCACCTCTGGGATGAGTCAGGGTTGCCCAAGCTCTCCAGGAGCACCATGCCCACCTGGAGTGCTGCCAGAGTGCTGCTCCTGTGAATGCCCTATGCATTTAGTACCCAACTGGGAAGCAAGGAAGGCCAGTGCTTTGCCCCACAATGTAATTGTGCCAGGATGCCTGGGGACACTGACTCAAGACAGCAAGGAATGGCAAAGGCTGCACAGACCTCGCAGTGCTGGGAAAGCCCAGGAGGAAACAGATGCCAAGAGCTGGTTTTCTGTTTCATGCAAAAATGAGCTGGTGCTGGCTCCCCGCTGCAGAGACCAGCATTGACCTGGTCCAGGGACGTATTTGGTGCAGCCAGGCTGCACCTCTGGCTGCCTTTACAGACGCATGATCTGCGGCAGTGGCTTCACTGCCCAGTGGTCCATGCCTCTCCTGGAAAATGTGTGTGAGGGCTGTGGGTGGCAAGGAGGAACATTGCTCTAGAAATGCTGCTTCTGCAAATGGCTCCTCAAGGTCTGAGCAGAGCTGACAGGTTCAGCTGTGTGAAGCTGCAGTGCAGGGAGCAGCTCTGCTCTCATTGCAGCATTTCAGCTGCATTTCAGGGTGCAGGGGGGGTGGGAGCAGGCTCCAGAGAGTTGACAGGCTCTTGCTAGAAGACCTGTTACTTTTCCATGATACTTCAAGTCACTTAATTTGCATCACTTTTGCATTATTTTCTTCAAGGCATCTCTGTCCCTCTCGGTTTCTGGACAGCCCCAGTGCTCCTGGTGAGGCTCAGCCATAATGCGGGGCACACGGAGCTGAGAGGTTGCATCCTGGGAACAGTTTTGGGAGCTGGTTAGAAAGGGTGGTGCCTGGATATCATGCCAGGCAGACACCAGAATGTGCACGAGGAGTTCAGCCTCCCACCAGGGTTATACAGTGCTGCCAGTGACATGGAGGCAGACAACAAGCCTTGTCACCCAGAGGGACACTGGGGACAAATGCAGTGGGCAGGATTGGTTTGTGCACCAAACCGCAGAGCTATAGGGGGATTCAAGGCAGCCATAGCATATCTGCCATGGGTGAAGCTGCTGGAGTGCAGCTGCGGGCTGTTGGTGGAAGCCAGGTTCGAGCCCCTTTCCAGCAGTGGGAAGAGGGGAGAGCAGGAAGGGGAACACCCACAGCATTCAGGCCCAGCTCCAGTTCTATTCAATATCTTCA